AACCTACACCCCCTTTGTTTGTAGACACTTCCGGGCATGAATTGTGGTCCATTGATGAGATATTGGATGCTAAGCGAGTCAAAGGAGTATTCAAATACCTAGTTCGATGGAGAGGCTATGACCCGGATGATCAGACATGGGAACCCTTAGTTCATATAGTCAATGCTGTGGCCTCTATCAAAGAGTTTGAGCAGCGTTTCCCACGTAAGTTGAAGCCTACGAAAGCTGAGATTACCAAAGCCCGCGAATTACAAGAGAAAGAAGCCGAGAAATTGGAGTAAGGAGGGACCATGTGTGAGGGTACAGACGTGGAGGAAGCGATGTGGCCCGTGCCCTTGGAACTGTAAATAGCCTCAGATCTTACGATCACTTCCACTCTTTGTAGACAATTTAGTTCTTACACATACAGTTGACCTTGTCGCTATCGCACCCTTACAGATATGCTTAGGCTGGAGGAGAAGGGTACTGTTGGATTTCCAAGGTATGGGGTCAAGTAGGTCATGTAGAATTGATTGAATTGTAAAGCAGTTATTGTACAGAGTATATATATGAGAATAGGGGTAAAAAGAGTGGAGTAGTATCCCAATGCGGAAACAGTGCAAATAATGAAATACATGTATAAATAATGAAATGAGTGGTTTCCACGGTTCAACAGGTACCTCTATTCGCTATACAATCTCTGCACATCCTACCGATTACATCCGCTTATGACTGCTCTAGTCTAAGGGCACGAGAGAAAGGAATATGATAGATGCGCCGACCTAGGAGGCCTCTAAGCTTTGCGACCAGCATCTTAAACATCTGCTTCGATTGTGGCTTTGCCACGAAGACCCGAACTAACTGTTTCCCACCTGCTAGCTTAAGTGCCACTACCGGAAGTACCACGGACGACTTCCCTTCACCCATGTTCAGCTACATATCGTTGTGCTGTTGACGAGCTTTTCTCACTTTGGGCTGCATATCCGGTGTAGCCTGATGGCTCATTTTCGCAATTGTCTGTGCCAACGTAGCTTGAAATCCATCCTCGTTGAATGTGACCTGGTATACAACGCAGGCGGAGGCTGGGAAGGAGCGCCGGAGGCGTCCCTTTGTCGTGATGACCGACTCGTTGTCGGGGGAGAGCTCAAAGGTTTCAAAGCAAATACCATTGCTAGCCTTACTGATAATTACACCGGCATTTTGGGCTCTAATATACAGTGGCATCACTCCACCTTAGGGCGTATACCTTTCTTCGAGAGCTTTTTCAGAGCTCTTTCCAGATTTGCCTCGCTGATAGCTCCCAAGTCCTCTCGGACAGACCTGAGATCTTCGATCATAATTCTGATAGGCTCAATAGTAGCCTGCTGGTCACATCTCGCGGCAGCCTTGAACCGCTGAAGGGCATCGCTGATAGTGCATAGCAAGGTATCCTTGTTCTGGGGATCGAAGTCATCCTCTTGGGGAACGTTGGGAGGAAGGAAGGTATGATGAAACATGTACATGATAGCATGTAACGAAGGTTTAACACTCGGTGAGATATGTATTTTGGAAGATGTCATGATATTGAAGTGTCATGATTTTGAAGGGTGATCGGTCAAGGAATCTGAAAGTCAAGAATTCAAGAGAATCCACGCCACGAGAAAATGATTAAGACTTGTTCCCTAGAAGATTAAGGAAGTATAAAGATTGTTTTGCGCCAGCAGAGTATGTGCGTCATTCCTGGCCTGTATGCTTTGTTTCCATATCTGCCTGCTCCCGATAAAATTAGGTTAGCAAACAAATAGCAAGCGATATCCCGTCCCGCCCTTATCACTCCCGTTCTTAAGCATGTACTGACTAACGCGTTTCGGAAATATAAAACATTTAATATAAGCAATTCAGGTGAGTGTGACTCATTCCCATCGGTTGTGCGTTTGTTCCTGTTCCCCATGCCTTGCACGCCTATAAGAGGTAAATTTTGTGTGCTTTGTTCGCAGATGGCAAAGACGTCCGCAGTTCCTTTCTACAAGAGTAGAGCTCCCCGTTGCTCATCGTGTGCTTGTCAAGGACCTATATTATAATTGTTTGGTCTCTCCGTAACGCATTCAAGCCTAGAAGCTATTTTTGTGGCACCAACATGGGGCTATGCAAGAAAGCCCGATGCTCTGTTTGCTTTAATAACGGGAACAACTCACGAGAGAGCGTTAGTGATGACTAGGGCATATGTATGACCCCATCCCGAATGTCACCAGATTTCTATTTAAAAAGCACATCTGAAATTGAGCGCATCATTTTCTTTGTTTGTCAACTGAGGGCGTTTGATTTTGCGTGCAGCAAGTTTTAGAACCAAACACAAGCAGCAAAGCCACTCGTCAAAAATAGAAGTATAAAGGAAATGTCATAGATTATGTCGAATGGAAGTTATGGTAGTCCTGAATATTTCTGAACAACTCCCACCCAACACTTGAACTTCTTTCCCTCTCACCTCCATAACTATGTCATATCAATCAGCAATCGCTTTAGCCTACACCTTTGTTATTCTCGTCATCATCAAATACTTCATTTGGGCCCCTAGGAAACATCATACAGCTCCGAGGCGCTTACGTAATGTCAAAGAATGTTTGTACCTGCTCAAAAGTTCTACCCTGAAGCAGCGAGCATCCCCAAATCAAAGGCTGGTGATAGCGTTCGGGATAGATAATGCTTTCACAACCGTCGATCCTATACATGCCAAACGATTCGTCAACCAATCAAAATCTCTTTTGAGAACCCAGGGTGACGACTGGAAAATGCTCACGCAATTTGCGTCCGACTGGACGAAACAGGTTGTCTTTGTGAAGCTCCAAACTTCATGCTCTTTCCGCCTACTACCAATGGTCCAGGCGCTTGTATTCCACACTGTATTACGAAAATTCTTTCCAGCGATCTCAACACCATCGGATAGCGAAGTTGAATTCATCACGTCTAGAATCAATTCGCTCTGGATCGCGTCGAAGGGAATTGCCTGTCAAGATAAAACACAGTTGGTGTACCAGAGGAAAGAATTCCAATCCCGACTCCAATCAACTTTTTCGCCGAACAAATCGCAGTCAGGAGAAGAGAACCCGCTAAACATACTTCTTCCCGCCTACGAGACACTGTGGCGTGTAGTACTGCGGATATTTCTCGAGGTACAATTTCTATCAGAACCACAACGGGTCTGCGAATATGCAGCGCAATTTGAAAAGTTCTTATTAGACCCCACGAGAGGAAAGTTTGAAGAGGAGACACAGATTCAAGATGGATTGAGTGTTTCTATCAAAGGTATCGTGGCGGAGGGACTACGCCTATATCCCCCGACCAGGCGGATCTATAGGGAAATAGATGGTGAGGAGGTTGCTGTTGATGTTGAATATTTACATCGTGATGCGACTAATTGGGGCGACGATGCTATGAGATTTATTCCAGGTCGCTGGGCTACGCTTACCACATGCGACGCGGGCAAGAGGGGTTATATGCCGTTTGGTGCAGGAACTTTTGAGTGCCCAGCGAAGCCTGAATTTGGGTTGTTTGCGATTGGTATCATGGTTGGCGTCTTAGTAACCAAATTTGCGAACCAGTTTGAATTAAATGGTGGCGATGATTTGGGGCCACTTGAAAACGTGAGAGATGCGTATAGCGAGCTTGAACTGCGAAGAAAGATTTAAATCTCAAGTTGGATGTCTTATTTTTGGACGAGGAGGAGAGCCAGTATTGCAATCGAATTTCGTGGTATATGAGAAATAAGTACACTTTTTTGTGGTATGAGATATTTGCCGAAACTTAAAACTCTAAGATTTAACCCATCCGTGCAATGCGTCGCTTAACTTTAATGAAAAACAGCTCTTCACTATCTACATTATAACTGTCCCCATCAAGAAGTTCCACCCGGCAACTTGGGCAGCTGACTAAATTAACATATTTATAAATTTCTCTAGCCCATAAATCTGCTGAACAGCCATGGCACAAAAAATGCACTTGTAATATTTAGTTTATGTTCAATAAATTTAAAGGTCTTCATACCGCATTTTGTAAGAACCAAATGATCATTCAAAATATCGAGACATATAGGGCAGGTAATATCAGGTTCGCATGATCGATCCAAAACTCCAGGGCGGCTTGACTTTTCAACCTAAAGAAAATTGTCGATAGAGAATGATATCACGTTGGAGCTTTGATATTCATTGCCTGTGGTGAAATTGGTGAGATCGGAATCATCTTGTGTAAGGTCAATAACTATGGGGTCGTATTTTATGAGGCCAACAGCCGGGGCGTCATCTTGTGTGAGGTCAATGACTGGGGTGTCGTCTTTTGTAAGGTCAATGGCCGGGGCCTGTGTGAGATCGATGACCAGAGCGTTATCTACTGCGAGGTCAGTGACTTGATCTACAAAGCGTGGAAGCAAAAACGAAGGATCATCTTACTAGACATTGCTATGAGGGCCAGGGTACGAATTAAAAAAACCGGAGGATGGTTTGATTCGGAGAGTAGGAGAAAAAGTTTGGAAAGAAACTCAAGACCTGGAGAGAAGGGATGGGAATGGGCTGCCTTTTGTATTCAATCTCTACGTCCACCGGTTCTAGTACATGATAAATGTGTGTGCCACGTCAAGGAAACCTCCACACCCGCATCTCCACTGCCTAGAACCTTAGGCAGCTGATCATCTCGTGTATGCACATCTATGCCTTTCATTTCCCGGTCCACTCTTTGGCAAGCCCCCCTTTCTTGCCTCGCTTAAAGACCTACCTCGATCTTTGCACTGAAACTAACCATACTTGGTGAGCAACGCCGAAGAGAGCAGCTCTTACTGGTAGCAGCAATGGAGCAGGGGTTTCCTGATCACTTGCTACAAGAAGAAGAAGTCATCGAGGTAGGTCATTGCTGCCTCCAAATGCATGTTGATGGAGAGGTTCGGCCTGAGAATGCCCTCCATAGCCACCCAAAAGCCTCCATAGAGAATAGAACACCAATCGCATAGTGGAAAGCCCCCCCCTTTGTGGTTGCGAGTGGTTACCCTTGGATAAATCCTACCGGAGGTGATCCGCGAGCTGCAGATATCCCATTGCCCCTCTTTCCCGCCTTTCCCGTCCACAATTTCATAGCTGTAGACCATTGGCAGTTTGTGGCGAAGGGGCTGCATCCTTTGTTCAGATAGGCCATCTGAAGTTGCCAAGGTTCCTTCCACAGGCAATTAATGTTCCCATTATGTATTACCACGGGAAGATATTCCACTCCTATCTGTAAAAGGGATAGTCCAGCTTATCCTGATAAGGGCGCAGCACCGGGCATAATATAGACTTTATTTAGATCCATAAGCTTAAAAGATATGAAACTTGGTCCTCCCACTATACCATCTTCTCTTTTCACCATTACACCTGAAATCTATACTCGTCCTTCATCACACAGTCATTTTCATCTACTGAAGACATCCATGAGCATCCGCCGATGTATACCCCCAGCTACAACGATCCTTATGAAGACAATCACCTATCGCTATACACTCCTAACAACGTTCAAACTCCCGAGTATAGCGCTGTATATGAAGCTTCACGGGCGGCGGAAATAGAACCCCATCCTACCACCTCAATTTCTGTGCAAAGGTATCTCGCCTTATAAGCTCGGCCAAATGACATAGATCAAAACTTTCACAATAATCTTGGACAACAGAGGCAGCCAAGTATGTCTTCTAGTACCATCGATCTTCAATAGCAGGTTTTCGGTTCCTTCCAACTGCTATCACCCATAATATTGTCAAAACATCGTACCACCTTACCCAGATGACTATCGCCCTATCTCAAAGCAAATACGAAAGGCGTAAGGCAGAAGTTGAGATTACAAACGAGACTATCGATGACCTCTCGCTAAACCTTCCAGCGGTTCTGGAAACGGTCGTCATGCTAGGCATCGAAACGCGTGAGAGTGTCGAGCAAGAACTTCATCATAGAGGTCACTATCTCTACTTAACGCTTACGAGGCTTCGAAGCTTACAGATCTCGTTTTACGCCTCCGGAGGCCGTTTATTTTGCATCACAAAATATTTTACTTGAGAAACAATTTTCTAGCATCTCCTGACCCCATTTCCACCAAATCCATGTGCTGAATAGAAATGTGATGTTCTATGATCTTTTTCTAGCATACGGTTTCGTCAACGCATCCATCGCCCTTGAAGAACTCGGGCGTGTACAGGAATGAGTGTCATTGCCTCGCCAACTCCTTGCTTATATTACATAACATTTAGGACGAGTTGAAGTACAGTTACAAATGAAGATTTCGTGGTGAGATTTACGACAGTCCTTGCTTTAATCTTACTCTCCTTTTACCCTAAACTGTCATAGCGTGAAATAGTAGAAGAGAAACGCGGGTTTTAATAGATCATTATTTTTTAGGCTAACATGAGAAATATTTTCTTTTCAATCTATGCACTACAAACAACGTCTCTTACTACGTGTTTTTGTCCTAATATCTAAATACCTCTTCTTGCTTTCTAGGACTAATTGCTTCCAATTTGCTCCCCGACACAAATAATCCGTCTTTCAACGTTCATTAAATAATCACAGTATTGGTCGTAGAAAACCAAACAGTCAGAATACATCCGTAACTTGTTGACCGCAGGTCCTCTGCTATCACCGTGCAAAGCAGCCATCGCCGCTAGGATATTCTCTTGGTAGGATGGATGGGGTAGTTGGATCAAAACCCCTAGAAGAAGTTGAAATTGTACGTTGGTGAGTCTTTCTGATTGCGTAGCGATGCGAGATTAACCTTTTGCTCACAGTCAATTTGGTTTTGGTCAATTAGATCAATGTGGTCGATTTGGTCAATTTGGTCAATCTGGTCAATTTGGTCAATTTAGTAAACTTAAACAAATTGCTATGTTCATCCTCGGCTGTGTTATTTCTGATTTGAGCGAGTAGAAAAGTGATCAGGGAACCTTCCTATGAAGTTCTCATCGCTAGATCCTACTATACACAAGACTTTTTTGTAGTGGATCGCCGAGAAGACTCTGCACTTGTAGATGTACTTGTAGCTTCTGCACTCCTTATAAAAGATAAGTTTTCTACACCAACAGAATTGTTCGAGTCGACCTTATTATAGTTGTGCTTCGACAAAATGTTCCTAGAGATTGGGAGGGAAACAATTTTGCTGTCGGGATAGAGGGAAAATTTGTTGATTCCAGGGTATACTAGTATCTTAAAATCTTTCAATGTTGGATTCTTTTTTATAGAAATCTCAAAATGCGAAAAGATGAAATCTTTCAGGCCCTCGAATTTGGAATGTTCATTACTCGAGATAGTAGTAATAATAGGTGCGTGTAAGAGCGGTTCCATAGCTGAGTCAATAAGTCGAAATCCGAGTGTAGAGAAGCTTCCATCCGTTCTTAAAAGTTGTGAAAATGGATGAAAACTTCAGTCAGATTCCGTAACATAATGGAATCCACATGCAGCAGATTCCATGTATTAGGCCGGGGTTGGTTATGAATGAGAACTTTTCCAACGCACCGGAATAACTCAGAGACCGTGGGTGGACTATATTTGGCTCCTGGAAGAGTAGTTGCAATAGATTGAGTAGTATAGCAAGGCTCTTTTGTCGTAGAATGATGGTGTTTCGCATGCTGTGAAGCATGTCTTGGATACTGTTGAGATAGGCTTAGAGAAATTATGCTTCGAGGTCCAGAGGTAGTGATGATTGGTTTTGATGTGGATGGGCTTGGAATCGTGCCAAACTTTGCCCCAGCGATGGAAGAAAGGCTTTGAGGTACGTGCTCTAGCTGTGTAGCTGGTGCCAAAGGCACTTGGGTGGAACGCAAACTGTCTTTGGAAAGTTCGAGCGGCAACGGGGTTTCAAATGTGATAGGCAAAGACCCATGGCACTTTGTCTCACTTTGGACGTCCACCGTATCATGGTTATATGGCAGTCCCCCTTTAAAATGAGATTAGCAAGATAGATTACAAAGTCTAGGAGTTCACTCACCATGGTCCGCGCTATTTGGCCCTAGGTTTACGTCTGATTGGGTGCATACAACCATTTCCTCATCAACCGGAATATAACAATTTGTTCTTGCTTTCCTAGAGATTTCTGAAGAAAGAAGAGTATATGCCTCTCGCTATTTCTTGCTATTAGAACCTAATCAACAAAGAGTGGAGCTAGAACTAACCTTCTGATCGAACCTCTGGCTAGTAGAAACAGCACCTTCCTTACAAATTCCGTTGTCCAGCGGTAATATAGCAGCTTCGGTCGCACCAAGATTGCGAGCATGCTTGATAGATAGTTTCGTAGTAGCTTTTGCGGACATTTTGAAAGCTGGATTATTCAGCGTAGTAATTGATTAAGAAGACGAAATTTAGATCTGGGGCGAGGTGGGAACTTTTGAAGTATTCGTCGTGGGAAGGCGACTATTTGTAATCCACTACCTTGATTCTTCACTGCCTTGGTTATTATCCGCCTTGATAATTCCTAACCTTGATCATTCCCCACCTTGATCATTCACCACCTTGATCATTCCCCACCTTGATCATTCTCCACTTAATCATTATCCGCCTTGATCATTCCCCACCTTGATCATTCTCCACTTGATCAAAAAAGTGAGTTTGTGCACAAATTGCGGAGCGGCTGTGCACGATGAGCACTAGGGCGATCCAACAAGCTGGTAGCGGTAACCGCCGCAATGACAAGTAGTGGGGAAAGGCACTGAGACTAGGCGAGGCAGGTCTTAGCGGGAAAGCTTGCCGTACATATCAGAATGATTAGACCACCTATGATCAAAGGGCATTACAGTCAAGTTACCATTCAACCTACTCCCGGCCTTCGCTAAGAATAGCCTTTAAATCTATAATTGAGATGTAAAATCTGGGAATAGTTCAGCAGGTTGAGTTCTATAATTAACCCCTGTAAGTTAAATAAATTGAGGCGATGGACAAGGAATTAAGGCACCAGATATACTCTTTTATACTCAGCATTCTGTATTGATTCGAAATTTCCTACAATAGATAATTTTTCGACTTCAGGAACAAAGTGTCGGATGTAAATTGATTATGACTGCCTGATTCCGGCTACGTAATTTTCAACTACCTTCAAAGGCCATGCTTAATATGCCGCATTATCCCCGCTCACTTAATTCTTAGAACCAGACTTTATTTGACAGCTGGTGGAATAGGCAAAGTGTAATGTGGCAAAGCTTTCTTCACCTTAATTTGCGAGGAGAGAATAGCAGTAATCGGCACAAACTAATTCTTGCCTCGGCATCTCGATCAGCAAGGTTGAAAACCTAATGACTTGGTTCGGCGGCTAATCTGCGGGATATTGTTGTACACATCGTCCAAATTCATGCTAGTCACCTATGTCCCTCAAGCCAATATAGGCCACATAATATAAAATGATCATAGTAAATGTAAAAGCCTTAATAGGCGTAGATCATTAAGGGCCTGTCCAGTGGGTCTTTCTCTCCGTCTTAGCCTCTGTCCTAGTCTCTGTCTTAGCCTCCGTCTTAGTCTCTTTCGTGACTGAGTACCAACGCCAAGCCGGGGTTAGAGCGCACAGATTTTCCTTTAAAAGAGCCTCTCCATGCTCATAATTTACATAGACCATTATTCCTTCACTCATCAAATCAATCATGTCTACTCAAAGATTGTTTACCGAAAGTTCGTCGGGAATGCCTAAGGTGTCATCTCTATCACTTGAAGAAGATTCCAACCAAAAGAACCACTTCGGTAACGCCTTTGATTTCAAAGCTCGATTGACCGATATGCCATCAGTGCCTGAGGACTGCCCACTGGTCATTTATAGACTAAGAAGGTTAGTGATCTCCCCTACCTGTATTTTATATACTAATTGTAGAGTAAGTTGGCAACATTGCAGAACCAGCAGCCTCCCATGAACATATCCCCTTGGAACATAGCCAGTGTTTGACTGTAAGTGATCTTAATCCTAATTTTCTGTGCTGGATTCTAAAACTTGTTAGAATCAAAACTTGCCTGGGATGGATATCAACAGTAGAGTCCGTCCTCAACGTCCAGTACATCCTCTACTTGAGGAAGCTCGACAATATGCACTTAGCCCTGATTCACTTGACTGGGAGAAGACACCACCAGTTTTTTGGACCCTGAACTCTACACGGGATAAGATTTTGGAACTGCCCGTTTCAGTTGAGGACAAAGCTGCCCTAATACAGCTCTGGAAATCTTGTGAGAGTGGACTACTTGCTATTCACAAGAAGGAATGGTATAAAATGAGGTTAGGAAATGGCAGGGAGAGGATCAATAGATACAATGTGTGAGGGTTGGAACCCATGATGGAGGCTCGGGCCATGCCCTCGCTAAGCACTGACCAAAGTCCCCGCTCAGCATTGGCCATTGCTCTACTGCTAAATTGGTTTCTCCTTTTCTACACTTTTCTACTCTATTCTTTTGACGTCACGTATTTGTCAAACAGTTTCTTGGTGTTGGAACCCATGATGGAGGCTCGGGCCATGCCCTCGCTAAGCACTGACCAAAGTCCCCGCTCAGCATTGGCCATTGCTCTACTGCTAAATTGGTTTCTCCTTTTCTACACTTTTCTACTCTATTCTTTTGACGTCACGTATTTGTCAAACAGTTTCTTGGAAGACTCCAGAAACTCTTCCTCTCTCTATATATAGAGGAAGAGATTGCATGTATGTAGTCTTCACGCACTTCTTAATTGAATATTCGAAACCACACCTTTGAGCTATTCGAGGTCTGGCCTCTCACACAATGCAATTATGGAAGAGTACAAGAGTGATACTAGGGAGGACTAGGAACCTGGGGGAGGGAATATATAATTGACTCTATTTGGTCATCAGGCAGTGTTAAGCCTTCAAGGACGCAGATGACTAGTTGATCTCCTTGATATAGTTGGGCACTATTAGCAAAACGTTTTGTATATGGCCTGAATAACTCGCATAAATCTAAATATGTTAACACCTAAAATTACGTGATCAAGACTAACTTTCGATTTAAAACTAATTTACGATCGATTATGTAGCTCGTGCATTAAGAATACCTAACTTGCTTTTGATTACAAATTCTTATATATCATAAGTATAAGATATGTACCAACAAAATCTGTAAGAAAAACTTCTAGCTCCACTTTTACAGCTTGCCACTACCACTACACCACCACTATCAAAAATAAAGACCTTATTACAGAGACCTCGGATACGTACTCATAACCACAAAATAGGTTGTATTGTTATAGTGATTCATTTAAGTAATTGTCGGTATATAATTCTGGTGAATAGCACCTTGTACGAGAGCCTGGTGGATCTATATGCTTTAGGTCATGTGAGTGGCTTGCCACTCATATACTTAAGCTTTTAGGGTACCACCTCTCTTTACCTTTACTCTTCATACACGAATGAAAACAAAGAGAGATTATGTTTGTGTATCACCCTTTACGACAACCAGGTCGTACCAACAGTAATCACTATAATAATCATTACGACAAAACATCTCAACACACTTCAAGCTTAAAGGAGACGAAGGGATGAAAGAATTTACTGAAGAACGCCTAAATCATTTAAGAGATTGCCTCCATCTTACTCGGGAGGCACTTTAAGATAATGAAAGAATTACTCGACCGAAAAAGTTCTTCTATACGTACTCAATATATGAATATAAAAGAGCAATTAGGCATATTCTTCATGCTTTGCCCAATTATTTTTCTATACGCAAGATAGTAGCACACTTGCAAAGATATTTAACTAATTAATTAATTCACTAACGTGGTTTATCAGCGAGTCGATCATACCACCGAGTCGATCACTTTTCCTTGGCACTACCTCCTCAAACTTCAACACACGTTTTCTTCAACTATTTACCATGGAAATTCAAACTCAAGAAGCGCGAATTACTCTAGCTATCGAGGCTATTCGGTCGTCCAAAAAACTAAGCAAACGCTCTGCGGCAAAGATCTACAATGTACCATATACGACTCTTTCCGACAGAATGGCTGGCCGAACCTACCGCCCAGATTCTCAAGCCAATTGTCATAAGTTGACTGAGTTAGAAGAGGAAGTGATTATTCGGTATATACTGGATATGGATTCCAGAGGATTTGCGCCCCGGCTCGCTGGTGTAGAAGATATGGCTAATTTTATCCTTGAATCGCGGGGGGGAAGACGCGTCGGCAAGCTCTGGGCCCATCGATTCGTACAACGACAACCAGACCTTAAGACGCGTTTTAATCGCGTTTACGACTTCCAGAGGGCCTTATGCGAAGATCCTGACGTGCTAGGCGCATGGTTCCGGCTAGTAGAGAATATGAGGGCGAAATATGGGGTTACAGACTCCGACTTCTACAACTTCGACGAGACAGGCTTTATGATGGGTGTTATTTGTCCTAGAATGGTTGTTACTCGTGCAGACCGACGTGGTAGAGGCAAGGCAGTTCAGCCAGGCAATCGGGAATGGGCTACAGCAATTGCCTGTATTAATGGGGAGGGCTGGAGTATTCCTCCATTCTTGGTAGTTCAGGGCAAGAACCATCTCTCCAACTGGTATACCGACGGCGGCCTCCCACCTAACTGGGTTATGAAACCGACAAGCAATGGTTGGACAAATAATGAAACAGGCCTGGAATGGTTAAAGCACTTTGATAAACACACTACAGCTCGTGCAAAGGGTCTGTATCGAATACTAGTTTTGGATGGGCACGAGAGTCATGAATCGGCTGAGTTCCAAGACTACTGTACGAAACACAACATTATTACTCTTGGACTACCTCCTCATTCATCCCATCTAACCCAGCCACTTGATGTTGGGTGCTATAGTGTGTTAAAACGAGCGTATGGTCGGCAGATTGAGACGTTTATCAAGGCCCATATCAACCATATTACAAAGGTTGAGTTCTTTCTAGCCTTTACAGCAGCATACAAGGAAACAATGACAGTCCTAAACTGTCAGTCTGGATTCCGCGGAGCTGGCCTAGTACCATTTAACCCGCAAGCAGTGCTTTCAAAGCTTGACGTAAGGTTACGGACTCCAACTCCCCCTCGGACGTGTAGTGCCAACTCCCTCCCCTGGGTGTCCCAGACCCCTTCCAACCCAACTGAAGCCCTTTCACAATCAACTCTTGTACGAAATCGTATAGCCTGTCATCAAGGAAGCTCGCCAACTCCACTTTTTCAAACAGTTGCTGCGTTAGCAAAGGGTACAGAGCGAATGGCACATGAGATGACCCTTTTGTCTGCTGAGGTCCGTACCCTTCGCGCTGCAAATGAAGCCCTAAGTAAACGCCGTAGGGCTAAAAAGACTCGTGTCCGCCAAGGAGGGGCACTTATAGTAGAGGATGTACAGGATATGTTAGCTCAGGAGGATGTAGATGAGCAAGTACGACGCGACATGCGTGAGGCGGGGGTTGGTTATAAGGAGGGGCAACCTTCTAGGCGGCGCTGTAGAACTTGTGGAAAAGCTGGTCATAACGCGCGAACTTGTCAAGAAGTTATAGATATATCTAGTTCGTCAGATATAGAGAGCGATAATTAATTTAATATATTGTGGTTGATTTATTTAGGTGTAAAGTTCTGTGCCAAGAAAAAGTGATCGACTCGGTGATATGATCGACTCGCTGATAAACCACGTTATCTAAATTTAGTAAATATAAATTAGGCAGTAGTTAAATTAGTATGTGGAATGAATTACTAGATTAACCCTACCGTGTGTCGCAGCTTACCCCTAATAAACTTTTATATTATATACATCTCTTCATTTTCTATATTTACCTTGAATAATGACGTTAACTGAAGTCATTCATAAAAACCAGTTACCGTGGGGACTCCGTCGCCTTCGTAGAGTAAAGCCCATCTCCACAGACGTCCTCGAAGAATTGTCGAAAAACGATCACGTAAATTCAGGGGCACCATTATCTAGTCCTCAGAGCGCTGTGACACCAGGAAAGCTTCTCAGGCTGTGGCTGAGATCTCCTTGGGAGGATTACACTCGTGTCCAGTCTCGAGAGCCTTCCCTCGCCTTTCGGAAAGGGGCATACTTTCAAAAGGCGACAATACGAGCCTTCCCCAATTCTGGAGGGATTCAACTTCTCCAAGCATTCTCCAGCTTTCGACACCCTAACATCGCCAATGTTTACGACGTATACTGCTACGACGACAGAATATTTGTTGCTTCAGAGTATCTTGAGCTCTCCTTAAATGAACTGGACTTTCACTCCTTCTCATTCGCGGAATGGGAGATAGCTACTATTATTTTCGAAGTATGAATCCTTTAAATCCTTAGTTGTATATCCTAACGTGCGTAGGTAGCAAGAGGGTCGGTATACTTATTGTTCAAGGGAGTATCATGTAAAGAGATATCCGTTTTCAATATACGAGTATCTATTGATGGGAGCATTAAGATTGGTGAATATTTACTCTTGAGCAATTGGTTTTAGAGATAGACTAACTCTTTTCTAGTTCTAGACTTAGACCAATACGAATACGAAGCACCAGATAAGAGTGCGCAGCTCTCACATGTGCTCCTGGATCTACCATTTTTATCTGAGATAGTGGAAGAGATGCTGCTACCACGATATCATCTTAGCGATGATGAAGCATGGTCAGATAATGCTATCGATTTCCTTTCGTGCTGTTTGTCTGGATCTATTGAAACTTTGCTAAAGGTAAGGAAGCTAGGTAAACTATATCAAAATGATAGCTAATTATTCAGCATCCATTTTTAGCCCAAGCCCAGTCAGCAAGCAGGCTGGCACCTCGTGTTCAATTTGCTATAGAGGTTTCAAGAATTGACGAAGTAAAATTATGTGAATCGCATTAACAGATCCTGAACACTTTCAAGGGGATGCCTAATTTATAACTATCTTAATACTACGCCTAGTTATTTAAGTCTATATTTGAGACAGCACATTCCGTAGACGACTTATTATTATTATTATTATTATTCCTTTTAACGTGCTGTGTGAGTCTGAGACTATAGTAGCACGGCTGGGGGTTTCCCTCCGACAGATGAGTAAAGCTGTACTAAATACATGTTTGAGAAGGGGGTTATGGTCATTACAGTTCTTGGGTTGTTGGGAGCAGCTAGGCTTCTGGTTATGACAAAAGAAAAGTTGTTATGTTGTAGTACGCCCCCTCGTTTCACGCCCTGTACGCTACACTTCCTCGTTCTCGTCTTCCTCGTCCTCGTCTTCCTCGTCCTCATCTTCGTTCTCATCCTCAGTTGCGCGTTGTGTGTGCCATATTCTAGTGGCGATTTTGGTGGTTCGAATAAAGTCAAGTGTGGCCTCGACTCCTTTGGCGGTGTGAAGGAGGGATTTCATGGTGAACTCTCGAATATGATGCTTGAGGAGGTTGCGCTTTAGTACTTTCCTAGCATCCCCAGTTTCTGGACAGCTAAGAAGGAGGTGAGTGGGAGTCTCTTGTCTTCCACATCTACAGCGGTTGTTGGTAGTGTGGCCGAGCTTGTGTAAGTATGATTTGCGTAGACGACTTATAAGTAGAACAATTTTCGATAATGCTCCGCGAATTTGTCACCGTCGACTGTGAACATTGAATCTGGAGAGAAGTTTCTATCATCTAACGATCTTGTGAAGAGAGACTCAACACTACAGGTAAGGCTTGAGCCGTCTAAGTTATAAGTGTGACGGTTCTAGCCGTCACGTGCCATTTAGATCACGTGGTCTCGCTTAGCGAGCCACATCTTGTATTTAAACCCAAGCTCTCTCTCGCCCTCCTCTTCTCCTCAGCTTAGAATCCTTCGTAATAGACAGTTCTACGATTCCACAACCTACACCGTGGACTTTTTGTACGTGTCGTCACAATAAGGTAACTTCTAAATTAACTTAAATAGGATAATTATGCCCCTATGGGCTTCTACTTGGACTGAATCAGGATGTAAGGATCTCTTGCCGTCGTTTCCATTAATAGACTCACTTTTTCTTGGCACTGGACTTAATTACTCGACCAACGATATAACGACACTCTCTGGTATGAACATGTCATTTATTACCCCCGGATGGAGTTTCCATCTTGGCGGTCGAAGTATGCAAGGCAGAGAGCAGTTATATTTCAGCCATGCCTCTGAAAATAGAACTTTTGTGGATATTTTAAAGACATAAGTTTGTTATGGAGATGGTTGCAATTTTTTTCTGCACTCATACTGGCCACAGGATTCACTAACTTATGTAAAGTTAAGTAACAGTTGAGAGGGACAATTCAAGTGCTAATTATTAATAGCTGGATGCGTTAATATTAACAACGGTCCCTTTCAATGCTTCCGCATTTGGCTCAACTAAGTAAACTGCTAAACAGGCTTTATAAATCAAGAGTAAGTTAGGAGATCAAAGTAACTCAAATTATAAAGACTATTCTAAGTTAGTATTGTAACGAACCAAACTCCATCAATTTGACAAGGAGGAAAATACACAGTGTGATACGTGGCATATTAACTATAATTTATATATAAGAGAATAAACCGCTGAGGCAGCCGATAACACACTGCATATACACGGCCCGCTAGTATCCCACGATTTCCCCCTCCCTAATTCAATTTCTGAACGTAGTTATTCACGTGACTGGGAGTAACAAACACTCCCCAATGTTATTCAGATCCTTCACCCATGAAATAGTTTTCTGTGGCATCTCCCAGTACCTTAGGCCAAACCGTTCATCTTGGTAGCATTCTAGAAGGGTAGTCCAAATATCCTCCTGGAAAAACCGGTATTCGCCGTAAGGATCCACATTACACCCTCGAACAAAGCCCAAAGATCCAAGATCCATCAAATAAAGGTGACCATTCACATTTTGCGGGAGAGGATCTCTCTCTGGTTCATCGACAAAGATTAAACTCTGGAGGTGACGAGCTTGTCTTAAAAATTCCGGAAATCCCCAGAAGACATGGGTTCTCATTCGAATTGCGAGTGTTTGCACCAATTGAAATGTGTCTCCAAGGAAGGTTATCGTATTATCCACGTCCACCGATTCATCAGGGAGATGTAAAAAAACCGTGTCCCAGGACCAATTGATCAAGGTAGTAGCCCCATTATCACCATTAAACCTGACATGCTTATAATGCTTCAAAACCTCAGCACGAGACTCTTGACACACGCATACAAGCTCCACCCGCTGTGTTTCTACCTTAACCTCGCAAGTTGCATCCTCTTGGCTCAGTATCGGGGTAATTGTAATAAGACGTGGCAGGAGAGCTGATTTCCAGATTTTATTCCGGATTTCAGGTGGAAGCGTTCGAAAGCCCGAGAAATTTGGTGCCACATGTGCTACAGAGCTATCGGGTTGGTCCGGGAGAAGTATGCTAGGATCCGGATCCATTTGTCATGAGTAGATAAGTGAGTAGAAAGGGGTTTGAATCGCGGGTGGGTAGGAGATAGCGGATGGAGAGGTGGAAGAAGCATGTACAGCAAGGTAGCGATAGCCGCAGAAAATATTAAAGATAGAGAGAATGATAATGTTAATTCTGTTTAAATTTCCATATTAAACGCTGCCGGAGTTTTCCTCTCCAATGGAATGAATCCCTTCCCTGAGAAGCAAAAAGATCTAAAACGCACCATCTGATTAGCTTGATTGCAACACCCGATCCCGATTTTGGTTGTTGGGCCTGCATTTGTGTCAACCAACATTCAAAATCTAAATACATATCGAGAAACCGAAAATTGTAGGCAGGGCAAATCTGGGCGCTTGGCAAGAATCACGTGCTGGCCAAAAACTAGCCCACAGTTGTACAGAAAGGATAGTTTGGCTCGTGACATAGGCCTACCGGGAGGGCTCCGCACCGGCCATCTGACAGCCTTCATCCTTCAACCATCGAATCTTAAGCTCTATCATCTCCTCTTCGACCAAAGGACACGATAACCTCTTTTTGTCGTCGCATCTTTATCTTTTCAGTTCTCGAAATTCTGTCGCAGCGGCACTTTCCTCGGCCTCGACACCCTCCTCTCCAATTCAAGCATTCCCACGACATACAATCCAACATATCTCTACAATACCGACCTCTCACCACTGGCATCAGTTCTTCCGAAACTCTTTGTCGCAACGTCGCCTTGAATCTCCAATATAGCAACACAATACATGTAAATATTTCAGGTGCTACGTAAACGGAGAAGTCATTGTTCTACATGATACCTTATCATGTTGACTGACGCACCTAACAGATCTAATTTCCTCTTCGATCTATATACAAATATTGCTTTCATGACCGAACAGTCGAAGCCGGGTTACCAGATCATTCTAGGCGCTCGGAACTTTGAGGAAACGATCAGGGAATTTTATCTCGAACAACGAGGCGTGGTATGTCATTGTGCTAGATCTACAGAAGAGATTTATGAGCTAATATATGCTTAGGTAATAACCGACCAAACGCACACAATCATTTCAGAGACATAACTATACCACCACAAGCGCAAGGGACTCTGTGTACATATCCTCCTGCTAAATCTCCTGGGACTATGGAGATTGGAGTTTGGTACCCGGAGTCGGATTTCACGATCGATGGCAAAACCGAAAGGGGGCCGGCTGTAGTCATAATATGGGATCGCAAGGTACCACTCAAGGTACCTACCGAGACTAAGACAATCAAATCATACATGGTATTTCGTAATTCATAATGTGAACGGTTCTATCGAGATTAATGCCCATTCTTCAAAGTTGCCCATATAATTTGGTATCTCATTGAAGTCTACGATTTATGTTAGGAAAATCATATGCTTCGATAAATAATTTACTTATCTTGTTGAAGTACGGGGCTTGAGTACAAAGGGGCTTGCACATTAAGCATCTCTGGCTGTAACTGATCCTTATCCTGTCCCTGCCCTCCAACCGTTGTATCTGGCCAAGTAGAGGCCGATAATCCTTGACCAGCCCCAGGCTTGACGAGCTTTTGCCTTTTAGCCCGTCTCGACTCCATGTCTTGATCTTCGGGTATAAAGTTTAAAGTTTCTGAAAGGATCTGCGTTCGAGTTGACCGGGGAGCCGGGTGTGGCCACGGACGCTATTCTGTGTGATTGGTTCGAGTCCAGTAGCCGATTGGGCTCCTGCACGTGATTCATTGAGAATCGCTGACTAGGCCATCCTGCCCTATCTTGATCTTGACCAAAATCGAGCAGGTTTGGCAATTCTAGGGTTTCATTGCTGTGTCTCGGCGAAAACGTGCGATGTAGAGAAGGCAATGGAAAATCAAGGCCATTAAGCGGAGGGAGACTACGTGGAAACGCCGTTGACTATTCTGTCTGAGGCAGCCTTACTTGATCTTGCAGTATCGTATCGAAGCCATTAGGACCTCCTGCAATGTTTTGTGACCCATCATTTTCCGGCCTTGGCTGATTTGTTGCAGTAGAGGGCAATGACCGCGGGACTTGAGATAGCTTCGCGGTTTGTCCGGAAGTCTGTGGGAGATATAATTCGAGATCTGGCAAAGTTAACAATAACATGCCAACGTGCTAGAATAAGATTGAAAACAAACCTTGTCGTAACTCTAACTTTGTATTCAGCGCGCTTTCTCCTAGAATCTTGGATCTAGCTCTTAAAGCCCTTTCTGCCGCCCATGAAGGAATCACTAATTTAGGATAGTGTTTGTCGAAATACTGGTTGAGCACCTTCTGATTATCAAAGATCTCGTCAACCTTACTTGGAACAAATAACAAGCAGCAGAGGATGCCCAGATCCAGGCGAAGATACCAGTCGCTCCCTAAGAAAACCTTCTTAAATATGATGTTGAAATTCCTTCTTTTGGAGGAACCATCTGTGACTTTCTTGAGGGGGTTAATTTTCAAGAGCAGTGACAAATAACGTTCGATGGGTGATGATCCATCCCAAGTGGGCCTGTAAATTGGCCTTCTCCCTATCAAGTTGAGATATGCGGTTCTCGATCTCGTTGAAATCCAAATCAAAGTACACTTCCTTATCATCGCTAGGTACGCGATCGTCAGATCTATCAAGCCAACAGAGTCGCATTTCTTGGATACGGCGCGTTTTGCAGCCCAAAGATTGTCGGAGGGAATGATAATGAGACTGTTGACAGGACTGCCAGAAGGACTGCCAAAAGGACTGCCAAAAGGACTGCCAAAAGGACTGCCAAAAGGACTGCCAAAAGGACTGCTGGATACGATTGTTAGAAGGACGATTCAGAGATCGTCAAAAGGTGGGGTAATGAAACTATCGAAAAGACAGTCATTGGAACCGCCAAAATGACTGTCGAAAGAGACTGTCTGGAGGACTGCAAAAGGGACGGTTGGCAATAAACCACCAACTCTAATTGGATAAAGGGTTGGATCGATGTCCAAATTGAGTTTCCTACATAGACATGGGTCTATATATATCACGGGAACGGGGAAATATGCGATAGGCTGATCGCGATATCATCTCTGCATGTCACTGGCGAATAACTGGGGGATCTAGTTGGTTGGCTCAGAGTAATGGTAATGACAGGCAAGATTAGAGATAATAACCCGGTCGATTGTTCCTACCCAATAACTTTCTCCTCATTTCCCACAATCCCAGTCAATCTGCCAAGGAATTTAATACTCGAAACAATCTAGATCACAGTTCGTCAAAAGAAACTAGTTAGTTTGGGTATTTTTACATATCCTTTAATCCCCGTAATATAGTATACGAAGGACAAATAGTACGCTATACAAAGTAATTACTAAATGTAACAGTATCTGCCCCGCGAATAGTTGACCTTGACTTTATATATCTTAGTGTTCCCAGATAAAAGTGTTTTTCAAGGACTTGTTCAATCGTTAAGAATCACAATACCTTTCGACTCTCTATTTCAAGATGACTCTTCTTAAAACCCCTCATTTAGTCTCATTATACAAGGATGCTCATGCCTATCCTCATCGCGAGAACCCATCAATTGAATTTTGGGTAACAGTACTCTATTACTTTTTACCCGCTCCTGTTTGGAATCATGCTCGAGAATTCCCTCCAGATTTGAACAACCCGCGAGATCTTCGAAGAATAGATATCGTCTCTAGAAAATTTGTCACCAAGCAATCCAACTATTTCTACAGCGGCATACTTGAGGGTAAAAAGCCAAACTATAATCAGGATGATGTTGATACGGTGGAGGAGCAGCTACACGGATATTCATCTGCCTACAATGATTCATGCGATGAAACGAGTCTTTGGGGATTTACAACACTCGGCACCAAGATACGATTTTGGTTCTACAAGAGAGCTGGCAACGGTTTGGTTGCATATTTTCTACAAACTACAGCTTCATACACCGATGCACCATACATCGACGCCAATGCACGAGAAACGGAGGATCTGGAAGCAGCTTTCGAGTATATTAAAAACAACCCCTGGCCAACTGAAAATACGAGAGGTGTATCACCGGATATCCTCACTCAACCTCCCAGCACGATTCCTTTTTCTGGGACGACTGTATCGCCTCTTAGATTAACTTCCCATCCGCACATTCATACAGTTCCGCCAGNGCAGATCACCGGATATCCTCACTCAACCTCCCAGCACGATTCCTTTTTCTGGGACGACTGTATCGCCTCTTAGATTAACTTCCCATCCGCACATTCATACAGTTCCGCCAGCCACTACCGCCCAAGCTTCTGCCCAAACATCGGCTTCAACTTCCCAACCGGCTCCGTCTCCATATACTTATAAAATTCCGCCGGCCACGACTGCCCAAGCACTGTCTTCTTCTGCAAACACTTCTGCCCAAACATCGACTTCAACTTCCCAACTGTCTCCTTCTCCATATATTTACAAAATTCCGCCGGCCACGACTGCCCAAGCACTGTCTTCTTCTGCAAACACTTCTGCCCAAACATCGACTTCAACTTCCCAACTGTCTCCTTCTCCATATATTTACAAAATTCCGCCGGCCACGACTGCCCAAGCACTGTCTTCTTCTGCAAACGTTTCTGCCCAAACATCGACTTCAACTTCCAAACTGTCTCCTTCTCCGTACACTCACAAAGTTCCACCAGCCACGACTGCTCGAGCATCGTCTCCTGTCATGCTGGACGAAGGCGCAGTAAACAAGTACTGGGTGCCATCTATTGATATTTCATGGAGTGGTACTAAAACAAGATGTGGATATATATCTTCCTGTTTCTTTCCTAGAGCAACGAAAAAATGATGACGGTGACAATGGGTATTATTTTGAGTCTAAAAAATTAATTCAGGGAAAGGAGAGAACTTCAATGTTTGCTGATCTGAAGGCAGATAGTGCAGCTTGGAAAAAGGAAGGAACAAGACATTATAGTGAATCGAAAACTCATAAATGGAGGAAGAAGCATGGAGCAACTTACTATAGGAAAGAGTAAGGCTAAAGATGGAGTGCGAGGATATAAGGGCTCTTTTTTACCTTGAATTTGCTTGCTTTGTTTGTTTCGTTTTGTTTTGTTCCTATAGTGTTACAATCTATGAATATTATTTTGATTTACATTCACTTATTCCAACCCTTAAATAGGGCTTCCACGATAACGCCGTGCAGTGCGAATGTCTAACTAAAGTTGTGACATTGAGCTGGATCTAGGTTATGATATTAAATTATCTACTGTATTTGTGCTTCCACATGGCTAATATCGCAAAAGGTATAGGTGTCTTTATGCCACCAAGAGAGCCATGTGAGTTTGAATTCATCATTCATCTCTGTACTTTCCCAGCCAGACTTTGCAAGATCTTGGTACTCTTGTAGGGTTGTAGACAAACAGACCCTCGCCCTGCGAATTTCTTTTCGTGATCTAAAAACGATATCTGACAGGTGATGAAAGCCAAATGGATTGTTAACCTTGTGTCTAGATGCATCCAGTCTGCATTGGCCCAAAGGTTGCTGAAGGCCATTTGAATAATTGATCATTATCCCTACGCAATAGCTGCTTCCTTTGCTTTCCATATAATAACCTGTGGCGCATTGTACCCCGTTTAAGAGTGCGCTACAACAATATAACCCCTCCATTTCCGAAGGAGGGCTAGGTGTGTGATAAGTTTGAGGTGATTCGCAGGGCTCTAGAGATATCTCTGTTGCAATCCCAAAGGCTGGAAGTTCTCCTCCTAGTGGGGCATTCTCAAAGACAATATGAGAGGGTGTGCTGCCAAGGTATTGGAACCTACAGCCTGAAGTCTCATATGGACCAAAGGTGTATATCTGGTCTCGAGTTGTCCTCACCTATACAATTGTTAAAGGCATTCTAGGAAAGGAGGCATATAAACTACCACGAGAGCCGGAGTGGAAAAGATAGGTATGGAATCATGTCGTAGCCAAACATCCCTAATTTGCTGCTGGGCAAGTGGACAAAAAAGCCAGATAAGAGTGTTTCGTCGTCTTAACGGAATTTGATTGAAAATATCAAGAACGGAAGATAGATCATCAGTGTAATGAGGATAAATGCCATAGGTAGAACGGTCGCAGCAGAAGACAGAGAGGCCACGAAGAGAGGTATCTAACTTGATGGTTCCAAGTCGCAGCGGAGATGTTTCCTTGTCCTTGAATTGACAGGAATGCAAAGATGGAGGGGCTGGAGTATCCCAGAGTCGAAGAGGCTCGTCCATATTCTGGATACGGATATAATCTCCCTATTACATAATAAGTCTCGTAAATAATAAACAATGAATTGACATACCTTCTTTTCTAACATTAGCCTATTATGAAAGTTGGAAATCTTCTCGACAACATAGACTTCATGGCGTTTGGCTTGATGAGATATCGCAGACGGCCAAGAATCCAACACTTCTAGAGATCGTATACCAAGATTATCAATAGCGATAGTAAGTGTGTCTTCTGTCTGGATGGCTGACCTGCGCACAAAATCTGCCGACTCCTCTAATTGATTTCGTTTCCAATACGTTATATCAGTTATCGGGAGTGTGACTTGATCACCAGTTAGGCCGCTCAGCCGCTCCCCCCATTTTCGGGCCGCAAAGATTCTCCACAAGAGCAAGCCATAGGCCATTTTCATGATTTCTTGCATGATTTCTCGGGGGAACTTACGCAACATCCGCAAGAGATCGCCCTCACACTTGATTTCATCCGCAGTCGGTTCATATGGAATAGGCTGGGTAGCCTCAAAGTCGTCTAATGATGGTGCTGTTTTCCAAGGTCTGGCCCATAAGCTAAATATCCAGACATATCGCAGGTGTCCGCTAGTGCAGGTATCAGGATGCTTTGAAGCATCAAAGCAATCCAAGTGAAATGTTGAACCGTTGGAGCATTGAAAAGGATTATAACATAATCTCCTTTCCTTCCGCTGTTGGCCATCGTACACTGTACACTTCTGGGGCTTTGTGGCAGCAGGGAATTCAAATGTCCCAGTCCATTCATAGCGGCCATCATCAGTGTTAGTAACTAGGGTATGTTCAGTTTTATTCTGTTGAAGGGAGTCGAAAAATTGGTACCTAATGCAACTTGTTCTTGTTCATTAAAGGGCACAGT